TATACTACATTTAAATTCAAAAGAGGACATCTGATGTTTAACTGATAAAATGTACTGTATTCCTATTATACAATTTGAAAATACACTGTAATATCAAAATTTCTGTTGCTTTATTATCCCTTTAAATATAATTCTAAAAAATCTCCAAAAGTGCAGGGTTTGAACCACATAACAACGGCATACAATAAATGTATTTTATAAGACCATGGTTAAACAGCATTGTCTTAAATTACCTAATGCTTCTCAGTAACAGCTGACGGCTCAAGAACTTTAGTAATTTCTCATTACAAAATCACTTAAAAAATTAAACAAAAGTGATGTCACTGTGAAACATTACAGTTAGAAGAGTTTCAGTATCTTGAATCATTCATTATCTGATTTTATGCACCCAATGAGCCATCAAACTAACCTAAGATGCAGGAGTAATTCAGGGCACTGGTCTTGGCCTAGCATGTCTTGGTCTAATGGTTCTTGACCTTATACCTGCCTCAACCCAACACCTGTACCTCCGTAACATCTGCCTAACAGTATCGCAAAAATTATAAATATTTTGTCGGAGAAAATGGTGATTCCCAGTGTCTTGTACAGTTACACACATTCCTCAGTTAACGGCTTCATTTTCAGTGCGTACAGGTACTTACAAAACATTATGTGTCACATCGGACGCATAGTTGTATCATCTCTGTAATATAATACATGGTTAGGGATAATAATATGTACAGTATAGTATGAAAGAAATTAAATGATCACCGAAACAGACACATTTATTCATGATAGCTAATTTGTAGGATTATGGTAATCTGGAAGATACAAAAGCCAAGGTAGAAACCATAGCCATCTTGCTTCTTCCTTTACGAACTGTCTCTACTCCTTAAGGGGGTTCCTTCTGTTGTGATGGCGTCAGCCAAGGAATATCTCTCTCTTTAATCTCAGAAGCACCTCACAATTTCTATAAAACTTGAAAATAGCTTAGCGGTTCTAAAAACATTGTATTGGTAAAAAGCTTTGATTATATTGAAAAGAAAAAATCCCTGGCCACAGTGATGGGATTCTATCCGGCACACACAAAACTGACCCTAAAATTTGTCACCCAAAGTTTGTTTGTGGGGTTTTGAGTATAACTGCACAAGTCACCTGGGTGCCACGGTAGGGAGGCCAGCAACAGAGAGGAGAGTAGCATAAGGCAGTATACAGTTACAGGTCACTGAAGAAAGTGAATGCAAAAAGCCTCTGGTGATACATGGTCCTACATTTGATTACAAGTTGATCTAAATACCTAAACTAATGCTTTTATAAACCACAAAACCACGTGTTAAACCACAAACTTGGTGGCGTCTTTACCAGGGAGTATTTATAAAACAAGATAAATAACATCAAAAAACAGTTCAAAGCTTCTCCCCATTATGCTTCGTGCACTGGGGAGATGCAGGGCTTGAGGTAATATTATTACAGAAAAAATTATTACCAGAATCTTCCTGAACTTTAAAAAAATGTTCTCAATCTCTTGTTTGTCCAACTTCTCTGAATACTGTACAGTTCTAACAGAAGTAGTGTTTAGAAAGCGAATTCTAGATATGATAAAAGTCTGTCATCTGTGTAATGAAGTCGTGGGCACCTGACTGGATGACTAACTTAGCCAATCACTGATGTAGTTAATTATCTGGATAATGACATCAGAGGTACTTGATTGGCTAGCTGGTTCAGCCATTCATTGAGGGTTTATAATGTCAATGATGAACTAAATTTTCTGATCAAGAATCTACTTTGGAAACACATCCAATGAGTTTTTCAGTATTCTTTAGATGGAAATACAAACATATTTCCCATCAAACACCTTAAATTTGTTTCTCAACAGATTCTTAATTACAACACCTGACTACAACCACCATATCAAAGACTGTCTTATATATATATATATATATATATATATATATATATATATATATATATATATATATATATATATATATATATATATATATATATATATATATATATATATGCAAGTAAATCACTGTAGGTGCGGTGATCTAGGTATATTGATAACCACAAGGAAAGAAGAAAACACGAAGATGTGAATTACACGAAAGCGCTTGGGAACTTCGTGTTTTTCTTTTCTTTTTATATATATATATATATATATATATATATATATATATATATATATATATATATATATATATATATATATATATATATATATATATATATATATATATATATATATATATATATATATATATATATATATATATATATATATATATATATGTGTGTGTGTGTGTGTGTGTGTATATACTGTATATTTATATCTAACACCTTCCAGGTTACACAATGGAGAGTGTAAAGAACTGATGAGGAATTAAGACAGTGACAATTATACATTATGAATGATGTTTGGAGACTTAATTACAGAAGGGATGAGTATACGTTTCTCTTATAAAGATAACAGTCTCAAAGTTGTATGACAAATCAGTCTGGATCCCGAAAATATCCTAAACAACGAAATATAATCCTCGACGAGGTCATGTACACCACTGAGACAGTGGGAAACACGTTTAAAACATTCAGTTATTTTCTTTTATAATTACTAAATCACAAGTACAGTATATAATAATGAGCCAAACTTTTCAAGTGGCTTTCTAAGAAGAAACAATGAAGATAGCTCAGATAAAGAGGAAATCGTAACCTGGCCTTACATAAACAGTGAGACCCCTTCTTAATTATATATCTTTGGTTCAAGTTTACATAAATGATTTCCTTACATAGTTTATATCAATATATTATATACATTAACAACGCAAAGATGATATATATGCAAACTAGACTTTTCATCAAAACAACATTAGAATGTGGCTATAAAATGACATCCAGTCCTAACGTTTTCCAAATACAAATGCCGTGTATTATTGCTGTGTGCGTGATCTAGTAGCTAACTTAGGGGACCTTAGATGTAACGAGGGGTTGGCAGAAATCATCGTAGTGACTGGGCTGAGACCTGTGCTGAACTGAAAGCTACAAGAAGCTGCTCTACTTCATATAGTCTTAACTTACTGTAGCTGCAAAATAATTCAAGGATGAGGAATTACAAGCTGAAGATGGGCTATCCTGAAAGTTATCTTGATGTGGCTATCATCATCTGAGAACTTATAAACCATATTCAGCACCTATCAATGGCTTATAATCCCTTATCTGTTCACAAGTACACTTTAGGCCACGAGCATCGGGATTAACCATAAACTTGATAGGGAAGAAAGTTTCAGTGGTATGAACGGTTACTCTCCCGGACAAACAGGACTAGTCCCAACCCAGTCACATTAAGGTCTACTGCAGCCAATCGACGAGCAAGCGTTTGAGGAATGATGGTGGTGGTGGTGGTGGCGGTAGTGGTGGTGGATACGGTGATGCTTAGGGCGTGAATATCACAGATTACAATCTTCGGCAACCATCTTAATCTTTATGCCATCATTTCTCAAACTTGTTCTGCGAGTAGATGAGATCTTACCTCAAAATAATATAAAAAAGTGATGGTATATCATCGATATCGTAACATTGACACGACTACAGCACTGCAAATACACTACAGATAAAAACAAAACCATATTTCAAGGCAATAGCTTGTGTTTGTCACTGTAAAAGCCTTGAGACTTTAAATTATAATCCTTGCAAGGCAATATAATCTAATGAATCACTATACAAGAGCTGAGGATCGTAAACATGGTAGATGCTCATAATTGATAACCAAGAAACTCCTAAATTCAGGAAATTTAGACAAAGGTGGTGAGGAAGGAGAGAAAGGATAGGTGCAAACTGACAGGTGGACTGACCCAGTCACACACAACTTAGAAAATAGGGACTTGGCCCAGCTGTTTCTCTTAATGTAAGTGTGGTTTACACCTTTACAAGTCACGTAACATCTAAAGCAAAAATAAAGGTTTTAGAAAACATTAAAATATATGTCAACATTTAACATAAGAAATTTAAAAAATAACAATAAAAGTCCCATACAAGTTATGGATATTTGTTACAGTTAAAAAGTTAAAGTACAATAAGGGAAGTTAATGAAGGCTTATGCGATTGAGTAAAAATAATTTCAGTACTTGCTGTTTGTAGATATGCAAAAAACAATCAAGTACATATAGGTATATTCTCCTTGAATATTTCAACTACTTTTCAAAGCTGTTTATAAGACATTTTTCTTTTCATGACTTCCCAAAAGTTTTCAAGTTTCTTTTTTCAATTTATTTTACAATTGTTCATTGTTCCTTCTGAACATAGAATTCAGATAGAAGACTAACCCCAATTGGAACAAGAAAGTGAGACTAGTTCCAGTTATTATTTTTTTTATTTTACGGTATCAGACAGTGAAGAGCTTGAATAACAAGAGCTCAACTGACTGTGTGTGGATGTATAATGGTGTGTATGTTTTATGCTTGTATGTAAGTTTGGATTAATATATTCATGTGGATTTGTGCAAAAGTAAATGGAAAAGGAGACCGGGGAGGGGGGGGGGAGACGACATTAGAGGTGTGTGAGGTACCACGGAGTCTGTGTCGCTCGTCACGAGTAACTTAATGATCTCCCCTATTTCTCCTATTTTCCCTTCAATAGGTCTCATCTTAAAATGATGTCAACATACACATTATCCACATAATTATTTTATATACACGAGTACAAAGTTAACAGTCTTCAGTATATGCAACGGAGGCTACAAAAGGCTTCAAATTCATTGTGCACCACCGAGTTAGCATTAATTTCTTGTTAAAAAGGGGGCATGCATATGCTCCTTGAGGATAGTGCTCTATGACAGACTAAGGAAGCATATCATGGAGCATCATCTATGGCAGCAGAAGGGCTACATCTACCTGGATACTGAGGTTTGCTGGGAACGGAGGGCCTCAAGACTGAGGTCAATTAAAGTTTTTGGGAGGAAACCTCAGCTGGAGTAAACAAAATAATTATGGCAAAGAAACCTCAATATAAACCGAGGTTTGTCAAAAACAAAAGAACCCCCAAGAATTGTAGAGGTTACAGAGAGGTCCTGTACAGATCATGTCACCATCTGTTCTTAAGAGATGCTTTATGTAAGCATCTGGAGAAGACTTTGAAGGTCCTGTTACACCACATAAACATAACATAAATAGCTGGCTTCTGGCTCTCTTAAATAGGGCATGAGAAAAACTCATACTCGAATAATAGAGACATCACCACAAAGATGAAGTAGAGGACGAACATAGTGGTGCCAAGGCCCTTATTCATCTTCCACTTGGAACAGGCGATGGAGATGATCACGAACATGAGCATACAGAACAGCATCATGATGGAGCACGCCATCCCACCTGTAAAAAAAATACAGGATATTATCTATGATGAAAAATACAGATTAGGATAGGTCAGGTTGCTCGACATCTAAAAGAAACAGAAAAAGTGTGGATTAGGCTAGTTTAAGGTGTCATATATCCTAAGGATATAAAATATATGTAGATTACTCAATGTTTGATGTAGTAAGTTAAATTGGTATGGGAGAGGTTACAAGACATTCTGAAGATACAGCAATATTAAGCTAGGATGAGTTAGGCTAGGTCTGGTTATGTTAAGAGTTTGTCATAATGTGTCTAGGAAGAGAGGGGATATCCATGAGTAAGGTTAGATTGAGGGACACTGGTTCACACCTGGGTTCCCCCAGACAACCAAATGTGAATGGGTATCTGTATCTAACAGCACAGATGGAGAGGTGAAGATGACTGAGTGCAGTGTTGGCCACATTGACAACTAGTGTACTGAAAAAGCCTTAGTTTACATTGTGTTGTATCAACATTGGAAATTAATTTTATTTCTTAAATGAGAACTTTACATTTTAATGAAGTTAATTCAACTGTTGTGATTAATGGAATTTTACAGATGCAATGTACAGTATTACAAACTGACACTTTAAGTTAGGTGATAATTTTGTACACACTCCCTGGAGTAATTTTAATGTTTAATTTGAAACAGACTGCTATTTCATGTGATTCAATCTTTTGTTTTATCTGAACAAGTCTGCCATTTTATCTGGGTCAGCCTGCTGCTTTACCGGACTTAGCAAGCTGTCTTATGAGAGATTCTGCTGCTTTATGAGTCACTCTGCTGTCCTGAAAATCAGTCAGTGTCTTATGAGTTAGTCAGCTGTCACAGGAGTCATCCTCATGTCTTACAAGTCAGTCTTATCTTTTCTCTTTCTCTTTTATCGTCTTCGCCACTGATCGGCTCGTTAGCCACTTGGGTGATCGGTCACGTCTCTGTTACACACTGTTGGCAAGTACTGGGCATGCACTGGCTCCTGAATGTATCTGAATCTGTTCCAGTGCTGGTCAAGTCTGGTCTTGAAACAGCTCACACTCTGTGCCGTCGCAACACTCTCCGGAAGGTTGTTCCAAGAGTCCACAACTCTCACTTTGAAATGTTTGCCTTCACAGTTTTCTGGACTTGCAGCTTCTTCAACCTCGAGCTGTGATCCCCAGTGGGGCGAGCGTCCACCAGCTCCAGGTATAGGACACTCGTAGTGCCCTTTGAGATTTTTATACACCTCAATTAAGTCCCCCTTTGCCCGTCTGTAGTATAGGCTAGGCAGTTGCAGGCGCTCTAATCTCTCTGGATAGCTGAGGTGTTGAAGTGCAGGCACCAGTCTGGTGGCCCTCCTTTGGACATTTTCAATTAACTGACAGTCCCTAGCTTATCTTGGGGACCAGACAAGGTGACAGTACTTCAGGCGGGAAAGCACCTCACACTTGAAGATCGTTACGAGGGACGGACCGTCTAGACATCTGAACGACTTTTAGAAGACCTAATAATTTAGTTGCATGATTCACCTTCTTCTCACAATGGCCCGAGAACTTCAGTTCATCGTCAACATACACACCCAGGTCCTTTTCGCATTCAGTCTTTATTAATGCAGTTTTTTTGTCCCGCTGGGACATGTGATACGCCTCCTTACCGTTGGTGCATCCAGGGTGAGTCCTCTTATACTTCGTGACATTCAATCTTAGCAGCCATTTCTTCGACCATTCTTGGAGCTCACAGAGATATTTCTGCAGCTCTTCACAGTCTGTTTGGTTCTTAATTTCCTTGAATAACTTGGCATTGTCCACAAACATTTGTATGGAGGAGTGTATAGCTTCTGGCATGTCATTTATGAAACAAACAAACAACAGCGGGCCCAATACACTGCCCTGTGGTTCCCCGCTTGTCACAGGTACACATGACGATTTCGTACCATTAATCACCACACACTGCTTGTGATCGTAGAGAAAGTCTCCGATCCATGCTTGGAAACTTTCCAGAATCCCTTACCCTTCCAGTTTAATTCACAGCCTTTCATTGGGTACGCTGTTGAAAGCCCTGGTAAAATGTAAGTATGTATTGTTGACATTGCCACCCTGTTCCAGAATTTGGGTCCAAGTGTCCAGTATCTCAAGTAAATATGTTAAAGAGGAGCGTCCTGGCATTTACAAGGTTGTTTTGTAGTAGATGTTCCATCATGACATCTCTGATAATACTCTCAAGTACTTTGAATACTATGCTGATCAGGCTCACTGGTCTATAATTATTCGTGGAGTGATGATCGCCCTTCTTGAAAATACGACTCACATAAGCCATTTTCCAATCACTGGGGACCCCTTGCTCACCCAGGCATTTACAGAACAGGATCTCCAGGGGCTCAGCAAGCTCTTTGCACAACTCTCTTAGTACTCTGGGATGCACCATGTTAGGGCCAGGACTCTCATGAACCTTTAGCTTTGACAATTTATTTCTTATAATCTCTTCTGAGAACACAATGTGGGTCAGCGCTGTGCAGAAACGCTTGTCCTCAAACTCAGGGAGATTGTTCACATCCTCACTTGTGAACACCGAGAAAGAGAAACTGTGCAACGCCTTCGCCTTGTACTGGTCAGAAACAGCGTAACTACCATCTTCACGCCTTAGGTCCGAAACACTTACTCTCGCTTTTAATTTCGACTTTGCGTAGTGGTAAAACGCTTTTGGGTTTGACGACCTCACTTGCAATCCGCCTCTGGAACTCTTTTTCAGCTCTTCTACACTCTGACTTTGCGCGGTTCCTGGGTCTGGCATACATCCTCCTGTCCTGCTCATCATTTCTCCTAACCCACATCTTGAATTTCTGGGTTTTCTTTTTAACTTTGCTGACCGCAGCATGGTTCATGTGTTGCGGTCTCCTTGTATTCCTGGGGGCATTGGGTTTGGTCTTAGTTACATATTTATCGATCAAATGGTTCACTTTACTGGCTATGATATTTAGTGTGGTGTCTGCATTCTTATACCTTAGTGAGTCAGGCCATTGGATACCCCTCATCTCCTCCCTCATCCCGTCTTTTGAGCTTGTCTGTCGTTTAACGAATCACACTGCATTCTTATGAATCATCATGATTCATTCAATCTGTCGCCTTATACAGTAAGGCAATCTGTTGTCCTTTGATACAATCTGTTGTCTTATGAGCTAATATATTGTCTTATGAGCTAATATGTTGTCTTTTGAACAAAAGGTTCATAAGAGCCCTGGCCCTGACACAGTGCATCCGAGAGTGCTAAGAGAGTTGTACAAAGAGCTTGCTGAGCCACCTAAGATCCTATTCTGTAAATACCTGGATGAGCAAAAGGTCCCCAGTGACTAGGGGGAAGAGTTTGAAGCTAAGTTTTTATTACCCCCAGGTTATATTGAACCACATACCCCCGGTACTTTGAAACTATGTTAAAATTACCAGAAGGGGAATCTGAAATTGCTACACCTGTCCAGCCTGTGAACGAGTATGATGTTTTATGAGATATATGCTTTTTAGGGCTATGGTATATACTATGAGCTAATATGCTGTCCTGTGAGCTAATCTGCTGTCTTATGAGCTAATCTGCTGTCATATGAGCTAATCTGCTGTCTTATGAGCTAATCTGCTGTCAGTTGAGCTAATCTGTTGTTTTGTGAGCTAATCGGCTGTCTTATGAGCTAATCTGCTGTCATATGAGTTAATCTGCTGTCTTGTGAGTCGTTTTACTGTCTTATGAGTCACTCTGCTGCCTTACCTGAGTTGACAACGATGGGGTCAATACTAGCTGGATTCTCGACGTCATTGAGAACGTTCTTGATTACCTGCACCAAGGCAAACAGTAGCCAGGGGATGGGCAGCCTGCAATACATACATACACACATAAATACACCTTACTTACTGCATTTAAATCTATCTCTTTCTCTAGGCACCACCGCCATTAAAGTCATCCCTTTCTCTTGGTCTCTCCGTGTCTGGTGTGAGTCTGATAATAATTCTCTCCTGTCTCTCCATCATGACTTGAATTTAATTAAAATTAATTATATTCTTTTTGTGTTACGCTGTGCGGCAATTATCGAATTTAATACATTTGTCAAAATTCTGGGAGGTAGAGTGCGGCCAGAGACACCGATGGGGGAAGAGCTTCCCTGTGTACTCCCGTCATCCCGCCCGGTTCACACGCCGATTAGTGCTGTTTTCGAGAAACAAAGAGGCTGACTGTTTATTATCATGAGAAAACCTTCCTGACCAGCTTTCAGACATATGTCAGCTACTCACTCCTTGTTTACATACGTGTAACAGCATCCAACAAGAGGAAGACAGAAGAAGGTTGCCCGCTGTCTACTATATACAGAACAACCCTCTACCCGCCTCACAGTTTCGCAGATTGCTGTCGGCTCTCCAGCGGGAGGTGTCTCAGCATTTTTTCAGGGCTGTGAACAGTGAATAATACTCATATTGGACAGTTTGGTGTGACGTCTTAAACCACTTACTGGTTGAAATTGTCATTACACTTCAATACCCGGGGCCGGTCGTGAACATTGAAAACCACAAGGTTTGAACACTGACCAGTAGAGTGAGTGAACACTGAAAATTACCATTGTTTAGTCCGAGATTACAGGGCATGTTTAAATTTACAGTGACTGCAGTGAACTAACTGCTAAGTCCCAAGTAACTGTTACACTATTGTTATATTTAGGTTGTAGTGTGACTGGGAATGACTGTATAAGTGAATTATTGTATTAATAACTGTAGGAATCTTGTATAAAGTTGAAAAATAAATGATCCAGCTTCATTAACTCTTAACGTGTGTATACGTTTATTATTGTCCATATGATTCCAGTCGCATTTCTGGCAGGACCCAATCCTGTCGAGGTCTGGTAATGAAAATATTTACCGTGAAACAGGGACACCTTTCCTTGTTGCAACTAAGGATAAGTAAAGTGAATATTGTCATTATTGTTTAATATCTTTAAATAACCTCTTAGCCTGACATTCTCACTTGTTCTCCATTCCACTCCGTCTTAGTTATTCATGTGACTAATTATGTTTTATATTCGTGTATTAAAAGAGGTGATCAAGGTGGGAACAAGACAAGTGGTAAATACAACGCCTTGAAATGTGCTTATTACACCACTGTATTGATTTCAAAATTGCTAAATGTTAGTTGTGTTTATGCCTTTTTTGTTTACTTTTGACGTCTTTTTTTGAGAAATTCGGGTTTCCTAAAAACTTATCAAAACAGACACAGAAGTAGAAAAATATACAGGTAATGAGATCCTATACACAGGCAAGACAGAAATGGAGAGATAGAGGAGAGGATAGGATAGGAGACTTACCCACAGGTCACATCAAACAGGTTGCTGCCGACGGACGATGACACGGCCATGTCTCCGAAGCCCTTCCTGGCCACGATAACGGAGGTGATGAGGTCAGGCACCGATGTACCCGCCGCCAAGATCGTCAGCCCCATCACCTGCAACACTCAATATGTCAGCACTAAGCTCCTGCAACATAATATGTCGGATGGTCACCACACTGGCGCCGGCACCCAGACAACTCACTTATCAAGAGATTACATCGTCTTCACTTGCCTAGTTTATATTATAGAAGGGCAAGAGGCGATTTAATAGAAACTTATAAGCACTTCAAAGGGCATTACTCAGTCAAGTGTATATACCTGGAGTTAGTGGATGGCCGCCCCACTAGAGGTCATAGCCTCAAGCCAAATAAGCGACCAATAAAGAAAACTGTCAGACGCTAACTTCTTTGGCTCAAAAGTTATGAACTCTTGGAACAACCTGCCAGAGTGTGTTGTGGCAGTACCAAGCATAAGCTCATTTAAGCCCATACTTGAACACTGGCACATGTTAAGGCACAGGTCATTTTTTTTATCGCCCAAGTCAGGAATACTTTCAATAAATCCATTTCCCTACGAGCAAGCTCCAATCAATACACACAGATGTCAGTAACACCCACTGTCCTCTTTATTAAATTATATATTTTTATGTATATTATTAAATGAAAAATAACTTAGCATAAAAAAGATAATTTATTATGTCGAGTACAGTATCTGCCAGGATGGGTCCCGATGATGTCCCGGGAGGGTTGGTGTGCGTGGCTTACTGATCCTACTACATTTGGTAACCGAACATTATATTAATTACCTCGAAATATCTATCATCAGTGGTCTCATAATGTTTCACACAGTGTGGACATACGTTTTTGAGTTACTGTACATTATTATGATGAATAGTTATATATAAAACATTACTAGTAAAAATATGATTAAATGTTTAAATTTCTCGTTGTATCTTCCTTGATTACAAAGGGGATGCAGAATAAATATTTATTTACCCATGCAACAAGGGTTTAAAGTAGACCAGTTACTCAGAATAGCGAGATATAAATTTGGTGTGAGTCTGTCCTCCCTGTCTACATGTTGACATTATCTAACAACTTTCAGTGTCATGTTCCCATTACCAATAATTTTCATGGTAAGGTTGATATTAACGATTTTTTTTATTGCAGCTCTCATATCAACTAGTACTAGTCATTTTCCTGTATGGTTAAAATTTATTCCCAAAGTAATTTACTGCAATTGCAAGGCGTTTAAGTTTTTAATCTGATATTATCGAATATTGGAAAGTTAATTATCATAATCAATTACAATAATTAGCAAGTAAGAAATGATCTATAGTGTGTACAGTATATGAAAGAGAGAGGACCTATACCTCAGGTGGGATGTTGATCACCTCTCCTACAAGGGACGCCCACCACACCATCAGGTAGGAGAAGGCGGCGATCCATAGGATACTTCCTATGAAGGTCACGAAGAAGAACCGCTTTCCTGAGGACCAGAGGCAGAATGAGAATGTTACAGGGGTACAGCAGGGGTCACGCGGGTACAGCGGGGGTCACCGAATTACAGTAGGGGTCACAGGTTTACTTCAGAGATCGTGTTGATGGATATATTGTACATATAGTGCACTTTGCAACGCGAAGCCAAAACGAGACGAATTTTAACAACCATGGAAACCGAACACTGCACCATTATTGATGACATCATCAACCACTAATAACTAACTCGACCTTAACAAGTTGTATGTACGAGACTGATCCTGGGCTTATAATAATACTGTCAACTCCCTCATAACCTTCTCACCTACATCGTGTAATGGCCTAACACTTCCTTCTGTTGGTCCTAGGTTGTCACCATCACATCATCTCTACCTGATAAAATATCTCATCTCCTGCCCTAAGGGTTGCTGTTTCGCGCCCAGGGGACCCCAAGTCCATCCACCTGTAAATGGGTACGTAACTTGACAGTTGAGGAAGCGATGGCTGTCGAGTGCACTGCCGGTCTCGCTCTTGTTATGTACCGAAAGCTTAGCATATAGTGTGCTGTATCCACATTGTTCCCAATGGACCATCAAGCCTATAGAACTCATTATTCACTTCGTGATCTTAAACTATGAGTTTCTGGTCTCAGGGGCTAATTTTAGATCTCTGTAGGATTGCCTGAACAATGCTGAGTTGTAGGATTCATTTTGTATTTTAAGACCTAACACTAATAGCCTCTCTTGACCTCTGTATCCTTAAAACACCTGGTGTTTTTTGGTGTTAGCAGCCTAAGACCCAGCCTCCTTTGGCCTTTGTAGTCTACAATCAATCTCTGACGACCATTTAAGCATTAGACAGATCTCCTGGAAGGGGGAAAGAAATGGTCTCCTACAGATAAAATGGACTAATTCTGACTGACCTGTACAACCCAAGACCAATATCTTGTGGTCTCTACAACCAAGACAAACCTCTTGTGGTCTTTACAGCCTAAGACTAACTATTGCAGTTTCTTTCCTCAAAGAACTATTTCTTGTGTCCTCCGCTGTCAATGACCGACCTCTTGCGGCCCTACATTCTGAGACCAAATCTATGGAAGGTTTTACGGCTTATCTGAGAAGTAAAGTAAAGGGTCCCTATTATCAAAAAGAGTAATTGACTGATTGGTTAGCAGACTGGGTGGCTGAATGAATACCTTACTGAATGACTGACGGTGACTTACTGACTGACTCACTGACTGACCTCTGGGAGTTCTGGTGTCTGGCAGAGTGATCCAGAGAGGGATGATGAGAGGGGCCACCACAATGTAGGTGATCCGCTTCCTGCAGGTGTCGGGCCAGCGGAGGTCGATAGGCTTGGTCTCATCCTCGTCGTCCCCATCACCCTGCAAAACATAGCCGCAACTCGGGCACATCAGTCAACGCCACTACCCACATTAACTCCTTTAGTGACGGCGCCTTTTGACAGAACAGCCGCTCGCTCGATTTATCTTCCTCTCTAAGTCAGGACCAAAACAAAAACAACAAACACAAAAACTTGGTTATATGAGTTTCCCTTTTCTTTAATTACTCTAAAACAAACTGATGGTCGTATGTGCAAGTGCTTGAAAAATGTCTATTGTATGACACAAACACTCAAACCAAAACAGTCATCAACAACAAATCACAAAAGCTGGCGGACTACAAGTTATTTTTTTCATTCTAAATTTGACTCTAATTACAGCTTTTTTCAAATTAAGGTTTTACTGTGATGTAGGTGGTTTAATCTATAGAGACACTCGTGAGTTACATGTCAACTCTAAAGGCTACGGGATTCCTTAAACTTAGATTTATATGCAGATGAGTGTGCAAACTAAGTGGTGATCCTTGCAAGTTGCAGCCGGTGGTGCATGCATCGCTGTACAGGGACTGTGCACGGGGTGTGTGAGAGAGAGAGAGAGAGAGAGAGAGAGAGAGATATTATACTGTATATATATAGAGCCATAAAATGTAAATGACGTTTTTACCAAATAAATATAACTTTGTTTTTCTCGCTGTATCTTAATAGAAAATAGTTCGCATTAGGTAAAATTTGTTGTGTTTCATTTCATAAATTTTTCACTATCATAATAACCAAACCATACCTGACCAAAATTAGGTAAACTTTGATTAGGTTATGATAGAAAATGCCGTCTTACGTGAAGCAGCAAATCTTACCATTTATGGAATAATTTCCTTTAAATTATAACGAGACACAAAAAGTTATCCTTATTTACCAAAGACGCCTTTTGCGTTTTAAGGAGTAATCTGAAGAAAACCCCAATTTACAGTATATACGGTCATCGAAAAAGACTTCCTAGGTGTTAATATAATACCATCCAAAATCTCGGCATTTTTTTATCTAAGAATCTGCATTTATGGACACAGCGAAAACGATTGAATAACAGTAAGAGATAGACAGCTATAGAGATAACACGATGTTTAGAGAGAGTCATATCGCTGAGTGCAGGCGTGTGAGTCTATTTCAGCCATGCTGATTCTGTGCAACAATCAGGAATGGTGCCATAAGCACCATGGCTGCCTGTAGGAGTGCCATGGTGGCGCTTAAGAGTACCCTGTTAACCTTTATGAATACCATGTTGGCCTGTAAGAGTACCATGGTAGCCTGGAAAACCATGGCAGCCTGTAAGAGTACCATGGCAGTCTGTAAGAGTATCATGGTAGCCTGTAAGAGTATCATGGTAGCCTGTAAGAGTATCATGGTAGCCTGGATGAGTACCATGGTAACCTGTAAGAGTATCATGGTAGCCTGGATGAGTACCATGGTAGCCTGGATGAGTATCATGGTAACCCTGTAAGAGTATCATGGTAGCCTGTAAGAGTATCATGGTAGCCTGTAAGAGTATCATGGTAGCCTGTAAGAGTATCATGGTAGCCTGGATGAGTACCATGGTAACCTGTAAGAGTATCATGGTAGCCTGTAAGAGTATCATGGTAGCCTGTAAGAGTATCATGGTAACCTGCAAGAGTATCATGGTAACCTGCAAGAGTATCATGGTAGCCTGTAAGAGTATCATGGTAACCTGTAAGAGTATCATGGTAACCTGCAAGAGTATCATGGTAGCCTGTAAGATTATCATGTTAACCTGTAAGAGTATCATGGTAGCCTGTAAGAGTATCATGTTAACCTGTAAGAGTATCATGGTAGCCTGTAAGAGTATCATGGTAGCCTGTAAGAGTACCATGGTAACCTGCAAGAGTATCATGGTAACCTGTAAGAGTATCCTGGTAGTCTGTAAAACAATGCCAAGAAAAATTTTCTTGCCAAAAGTAGAAAAAGGAATAAAATTTTTTTATATTTTAACCTGAAGAAAAAGAAAGGAGCCATTTTGTCATAACATATTTAATGTTAGGTAACGGGAATGATTTAATAACTTAACTTGTTTTATCATAACAAGGTTGTGTCTTTTAACCTTAAAATATTTATAAAATGTGGTACTAATATATATATATATATATATATATATATATATATATATATATATATATATATATATATATATATATATATATATTTTTTTTTAGAAGAAAATTGTGCTGGGTGGGATATATGAAAGGGAAGTTTTGATGTCCTGATAAATACGTAAAAATTATAAAGAATACTATTGTTGTTTTTCGTTCTGGCGATCATGGAATGCACTTAAGTAGTTAGTACTAAGTCTCTAATATAATGGTGCTCGATAAAGATTTAATGGCGTGTATATTAATATATAAATAATAGTAATTTTGATAACACTTACCACTGGGGAGGGGGGGGGGGGACCTTACCTCAGCACAGAGCCTACCATTATATTTGTGCCGACAGAAGAAATCAAAACACAAGGAGTAAAATATTAAATATACACGTCACCTGGGCGTCTCCGATGGTACCAGGCTCTGTGCGTAACACACACACACACACGTACTGTACTTACACAGAGGAGAGACTAATCAGAGGCTGTGAACCTGAAGGTTAAAGTGAACTAACGGGTGAAGTTCAAAGTTGATCCTCTTCACAACAGGTCAGTTTTTAGTGGAAAGGTCACTTACTGACCTCGACCGGGACAAGGGAATGAGGTCAAAACCATGACTGAGAGTGTAAACTGATTGTTAGACAGGTCACTATGTTATGCACCGCCGTGAAAACTGTGCCTGTCTGTGGTCTTTAATGGTTGAGCGGGTCTCTGAGTGACAGACCTGACAGATACTGCACACCTGGGCTGCCATTACCTACACGAGACAACTTCAGTAGTTAACTTGGCTATCTGAGTCAACTTGTGGCCACTGATACTGCTGCTGTACGAACACTAAAACAGGAATGTCGTCTCCTCTGGCCAGGTCTACGATCCTGTAAGTTTCTCTCGTTATAGTTTCCTCAGACTGGAGACGTGACTGACTGGTTCACTCAAGCCACACCTCAAGACGGAGCCCAAACCTCGACACTGCACCGAGGCTCGACCCCAGTGTAATCACATAAGCTCATTAAGGTGTATTTGAGAATCATAATGCGTTGAATAACATAAGAATCTAACCTCAGACCGCTCACAGGATGAATATGGGGTGCACAGTAAACTAGCTACTGAAATTGTAGTAGGATCAAGGTGTAGGTCTACATCACCGTCTCAAGTATCAGGATTTATTAAGGACAACAGTCTAATTACAAGTAATTTCCTAATAAACTTTTCACTCCTCTGACGGAACCTTTTCTCTGTGTATTTTAATAATAAACTAGCTTACTAAACACTGGAAAATAAAAATGTCTTTTCTCCCTAGATTCTTAATAACTGAAAAGTTATTGATAGAAATTCAATTACTACAACTTCTTGCCAAGACTATTCACAACTCCTGATGAATTATGAAATAAAAGCAGTTACGTATACACACACACACACACACACACATATATATTATATTATATATATATATATATATATATATATATATATATATATATATATATATATATATATATAACCTGTAAATAACGCATTATGTGTTACTAAGACAACTTCGAGTGGTGCAGTGTGCGTAAACTAACTCTAGTCTTTGTTGACAGGAATTATATACATATATATATATATATATATATATATATATATATATATATATATATATATATATATATATATATATATATATATATATATATATATATATATAACTACAATGATACTCAGTACAAGCCCAAGGCATAATATACTGTACTGTATGTACATGATTAAAAGAGTTCATACATGTATATTTACTTGTGTATACTGTATTTATATGCGTACATGGTGTGAGCTTTTGTATTTCTAAATATAATGTATATTTACACTATGCACAATATTTTCTGTTCTATTTTTTGTTATCTTCGCAAGCAAAAGTAATCCCACAATGACCTAACAGCTCAGGATCTAAATAGCTAAACTCCAAAAATTACGTCATATCTCACAATACAAAGATCCAGTAGTGACGTCAGAATGTGAAGTAATGTAAACACGTGACGTCATCATCCCAGGCTCAATCGCTTTGGCTGCCCAACTGTGTTTTGTTTTGTTTACATATCCGGCAAGAGATCGGACTGTATATTCACTAATCCATTAGAATTGTTCTTAGTTTTCGGACTGACTTTTATTTTTGCGTTCACGTGCATGTTCAGTTGTAAATACCGGATCGACGAGGGAAATTTGGTAAATAGGAGAGGAAAAAGAGAAAAAAATTCCAAAATAAAAGAGATACGGGATATACACACAATAGTATAAAAGAACGAAAACACAGGATAAAGGGAAGAAACGTGATATATAATGACGATGAGAAAGAGAAGAGAACTGGACGAAAAACACAGAAAAGGTAGAAGAGATAAAGACAATTGAGAAAGAAACTAAGAACAAAAAGTAAGAGGAGGGAGAGAATAAGATGAGCGGAAGAGAATCAATGGTGACGGTAGTGATGAGGGACGGTGGAGGGAAGAGGAATAGAGAAAAGGGGAGAAGGGAGGGAAGAGAAAGGTGGAATTGAGGGGGAAGGGAAATGTTGGAATGAGGAGAAGGTGGGTGAAGAAGAGGGGAAGGGCGGGAGGAAAGGATAGGAGAGGGAATGGTGATGGGAGGGGAAAAACGGGGCGAAGAAGATGGGAGTGAAGGATGAGGCGGAGGAAAAGGGTATGTGAGGCCAGGCGAACGGCTGAAGAAGTGGGGGAGAGGAAAGAGAAGAAGGGAAGGGGGAACAAAGGGAGATGGGGGGGGGAAGGAAGGGGAAGAAAGAAGAGGAAAGACAAAATGAAGGAGGAGGGGTGAGGAAGGAAAGGAGGGAGTATTGGAGGAAAGAGAAGAGAAATATAAAAGGAGGGAGGGAAAGAGGGAAGGAAGAAGAATAGGAGGAGAGA